TTTTGTTGTTTTTTCAATAATAGCGTCAAAATGTTTTGTTTTGTTTTTTAAGTTAAACATGACTCTTACAATGTAGAATAAAAACATGAAAAATGTTTGACGTATTAATAAGAGAACCACCAGGATGGTAAAAGAGCATTTGAAGAACTGAGTATGTATTGTCAATGAAGAAAAAATTTGGAAATGAAGTTGCCAGGTTAGCTACAAAACTGGTTAATCTTTGTCAGAGTATTAAAGCCAAAACCTTTAGGGTTACCTCTTCCATCAGACAGAATTCATTTGCATCTCCTCTGGACAAAAGCCTACAAGTCACATGTAACCTCGAAAAGTCTGGGCCTTAAGAGAAAATAGAAAGCCAAAGAAAGGCACAATCCCTAAAGAATTAAACAGCCCTTGGGTGGGTATGTTTGTATGATACTGAAAGGATATGCAAATCTTCCTTTTGCTTTATTTCTAAGTATTGGATGTTTCTTCTTAACATAAGATACAAATTTACATATTGGCAGACATAGCTTTCAAATTTCCAAATAGAGTATGGTCTCAATATTAATCTTCTTTTCACCATCTTTTGTGTCTGTTTTTAATAAGGAAGAAAAATGGCCAACAAGCAATTCTAGTATTGCAATGTTCCATTATAAAAACAAAAACTATTTTAACATTGTTTTAATACTCACCTTGATGGGTACTAAAACATTTTATGAGCACTTAAACTTTGCAACAGGACCAAAAAAAAAAAAAAAAGTCCACGTCTGCTTTGAATTAATGCCAGCAGCAAAAAAATTGACACTAATCACAGTTTCAAATGTTTACATGAATTTTGGACATAACTTTGGGAAAGTTACTGAATTTCTTAGCCTCAGCTTCCTCCTGTCAAAGACCTTCACTGCATTATTGTATGCGCGATTGTGTGCTGACACATACATATAAACCTGGGATTATACTGCTGTGCTCTTATTTTACCATTATATGCATATTTATAATTTGTTTTTGGACTTCCTTAAAGGCTTTCTTAATCATTTGTCTTCTGCTATATAGATGTGCGCTTTTATCTTCTTATAATTTTAAAAAGTATAAACAATATGCTTTAATCTTATAACTTTGTTTTTCCAAAAACAAAAGTTAAACTGTATTTATCCTTCTTTCCTTTTTATAAAGGGTAAAATGGTGTCTTTTGAAGTCCCCTAACATTGGATGTGAAATTTAACAAATCTCTCTCCCTCTCTTACCAAATACCATTTTAAATTATGATAATCCCAGTCCCATAATTTACTGTCACATTTTTGAGAAGCATAGGAAACAACAAAAATGTGAAATTTACATACAAGCTGTCAAAAGTATATACTTAGCTCACACAGCAACTATTCAGTCAGCTTTTCACTCGGCTCTTGAAAATATATACCACGTTTGTCTACAATTAGTTTTTTTAAAATAACAATGTTACCCAAACACACTAAATAAATTCAACATCATACTGTCAGGCAGAGATGCATTTATGACTTACTCAACACCAGTTTTTAGTCAGAGAATATCATATGAAACAAATTGGAATCATGCTACATATTTAGATAAAGACAGAAGTAGCAACTTTTAAGACTTCTCAATCTGTTTTGTGCATGTGCTGTTATGTTTTGAAGTACTCTCGTGTTTAGTCTTTACTTTGCCTAGAGATGTTATAACAAGTGCAATTTGCACACAAGACCAGGAAACCCAAAAAGCTTTTAAAAATGTTTTTTTAAATGGTGCAGAAATTCAGAATATACTTTCAAACCACTGAGTTGTACACCTTAAATGGGTGCATTGTATAACATGTGAATTATATGTCAATAAAGTGGATTTATTTAAATGTTTCGGAAAAAATAAACAAGCACTGTAAATATTCACGCTATTACCGTGTATATGCAAACTGATTAATTACTTTCAGAAACTTATTTTCATTGCTCGATTTATATATTTTTCTATGAGTATCTTGAGATAAAATGTAATTTATGATTTTTCCAATTAAAATTACTGGAAAATTTTTTCACTTAATGGCTTTTCACTTAGCAGAAGTATTTTCCAGGACAAATTAAAGTTGTTAAGCAAGAAACAGGTTTAATTATTTGAAAGTTCGAGTTAAAAATTTTAGGGAGCTAGACTTGGCAGAGCAGGAGACATAAAGGATCAGGGTAAATGCTGAACTGCTTTGCCCTGAGTGGAAAAGTTAAATATATTATGTCCACTGAGGAGGATTAAGACCAGCAAGATGACCAAGACTACATTTAGGATTGGGAGGGAGGGTAGAGAGGTCAGTTAAAGAGAAAACAAGAAAGATACAGAAAACAGCAAATAGATAATGACCAAAAGCTGAGTTGGAAATTTTGTCTGCTATTCCACCCTGAAGTGAATCCTGGGCTTCATTCGGTCCCAAATTTCAGAAGCAATCAATTAGCTCCATGGTTGTCAACTGTTAGTAGATTCTGAACTCAAAAGTAACTTAAATCCACTGATTCTATTTTACTTTACTTTGTGAAAAAGAAACCTTATAACAAACCACAACTTTTGTTTTTCATTTTTTTTTCCAACAACAGATTTAATACAGTCTTTGAGCTGGGAAAAAATAAAAACTCAAAAAACTTCAAACCTCTTGTCCAGAGGATCTGATATGTTCCCAAAGATAATCATACTGAAAGACCTTAGAAACGTTTCAGATCCAGTTTCTTAAAACTCAACAGCTAGGGCAGTGGAGTAACCATCTAGCTATGAATGGAGATTTGAGACTGCTACCTCTTACTGTGACGAGTCTTCCCTGCCCTTGGATCACGAAGCCTTATCAAATCTGTTCTTTAGATATTGACTGCTGTCAATAATATCTTGCTGTATATTTACCATTTACAAAACATTTAAACTCACATTATCACATTTATTTTTCAGACAGTCCTTCAGTGCACAACTTTTTTTTTCCTTTGTTTTTTCAGAGGAAAAAACTGGAAAACACTACATATTGTTTGGGTACTAGAAAACAGAAAATAATTCAACAAATACTGAAATGTGGGAAATAGAAATGATAAACATCAGAGTTTCTTTTAAGGTAAATGTCAAATATCAAAGGTTTAGCCAGTCAGAAACTTATAATCTGAATGTGTAATGCCTAAAGTTTTGAAGCTAAACAAGGTTAATGTGCTATTCTTTAGATATTTCCAGTAACAAGAGAAAAATAAGTGTCTGGGTCTCCAGTCCTTAAGTGCTGATTCTGAACTTCAGTTATTTTTTTTTTCTGATAAAGGATGAAGAAACTTTGAATAATAAAATCTAACAAGCCAAATGAAAATTGTTAACAATTTTTCATGTTACACCTGATCCCAGTCAAAAGTAAAGAAAATATGAGCCAAGAGAAAGTTATTCAAGTATTATATAAATATTTGATTCTCCGGGTGAAATGGCTTTAAGTTCTCCCAAGGTCTGGGGAAACTGTTTTAAAAAAATAGTTTTCCTAAAAAGGATTTTTCTACCTCTTCATGCAATTTTATGAATTATTTTAAAGACATCTCCAACAAATAGGAAGATAAATCATTTTGGAAAATGTGAACAATTCCAGAAATATAGACTTTTCATTTCCAGGCCATCAAGCTTAATTTCCTTTTAATATTCATTCACCTGCAGCCCAAATTCTCCATGTATGTTGCCAGTTATTTATGAACTACAAATAGGGCAATAACTTTTTCTGTTTCATGAGATCATTTATACTAAAAAATTTTCTTAAGTCTGATGATGGTGATTGCATCTGAGAAGGCCATATAAGTTACGCCTTCCTCAGGAGACACGAGACAAATATACTTTCCTTTCTCCCAATTAGGGTAATTTCCACACCAGAACAGCTTTTCTACAGCAGTAATAAATTCTCAATCTTTGAAAGTCAAACCACAACAACTAAAAAAAACTGTAGGTGGGATATGCTGGCTTTGGTTTGTTCTTCCCAGTTCTTGATAGCCTTATCAGAGCCTAATTATTTCTTGGCAGCACCCACATAAAATAGATTTTTTGAAGCCTTATATTTACTAAGTGCTTTTTTGTGATTTCCTCACCTTTTTTTAAAATCAGAGTCTCACTCTGTCGCCCATGTTGGAGTGCAATGGCACACTCATGGCCACTGCAGCCTTGACCTCCTAGGCTCAGGGGCGAGCCTTCCATCTCAGCCTTCCAAGTAGCCAGAACTACAGGCAAGCACCATCACGCCTGGCTAATTTTGTGATTTATTGTAGAGATGAGGTCTCACCAAGTTGCCCAAGTTGTTCTCGAAGCCCTGGACTCAGGCAATCCTCTCACCTCGGCCTCCCAAGGTGCTGGGATTATAGGCGTGAGCCACTGTGCCTGGCATTTCCTCACCTTTCTATATACCCCCACCTACCTTCAAATTTAATGAGTTTGAACAGTGCTTGGCTCACAGTAAGCATTCAGTAAATGTTGATGATGACAATAATTGTCATGTTCCAGAGACAGAAAACTATGTTCAATATTTAAACCTATCTTAGCAATGATTTCTAGAGAAAATCAAGAGCAAGTTAAATTCTTTTAAATTGCTCTCCTGTAGGACATGTGTTTATTTTTAAGCAAAAGTGATATATCTCTCTAGCCTAGCTATGTAAAATAGCTTTACTCTCAAAGTGAATGCTATGGGGAGGAAATTGGCAGGGGATGAGATTAAAAGAACTCAGAGAGACATAACAACAAAATGTATTAAAACTTGATTGGCTCTAGATCCAGAAATAAAAATCTACATATTTTAGAAATAACTGAGGAAATGTATATATGGGTGACATTATAGAATTATCCTTTTACTAGGTGTTATAATCATATTGTAGTTATAAAGGAGGATATCTGTAATCTTAGAAGATGTAGGCAGAAATATTTAGGCCTGAAATAATGTGATCTCTGTACTTTCAATGGTTCAGCAAAAAGTCATATATTCAAATATAGAGAAAAAGCAAATGTAACACAACATTAATCACCAATGAATCTAAGTGAAGAGTTTATAGACATTTATGGTACTATACTTTCAACTTTGTAGATGTAAAATTTTTAAATATTTTACTGTACGAGTATCCTTATACATTGATAATACTTATGTACGTCTTATAAAAAGTATACCTATTCAACCTGAAATTAACTACTATAGACACATATTTAATTTTCAGTGTTAATGTATGAATCTCTGTCTTAAATACAAATCAAAATAGTCTAATATCTATTTTAAATTAGAGACAACTAGATGTAGGTGTTAGGATCATAAATTAATATTTCAGTTACATAAAAGATTTCCATCTTTTTTTTCAATATTTCTTCTTTGTTTTTCTTCTTTGTCTAGAATAGTCTGTTTTAAGCTCAAAGTAGCATCTTGAAATCCAGGATTTAAGTCTAATACTTTCTTGAAATCTTCCAAAGCATCATCAAAATATCCTGTTCCAGAATCCAAAAAATGGAAAAGAGGAAAAAAAGCTGAGTATGTCTATATATTATTCATATCAAAGTTTGGATACACATACTTTTGCTTTTATATCTTACAAGCTTTCAACCACTCCTAATAAAGAATTTTTTTCTCTTGATGATGAGGGATGTGAATATCAAAGGGATTTTGTGTGCCTTTATAGAATATACCTAAAATCAGCTATGGGTTTGCTTATTTATTGAGATTTAACAGATAAATAGCATAAATCATCATAAGAAATTTTAACAAAACTACATCACCTGTTTTATCTTACTGCAGTAAAATTAAAAAACTGGACATTTAACATTTCAATGAGAACAGTACCCACAGGCCATTTCATTAAAGAATCTGTCATCTTGAATGTGTCTTGTGTGTTTTCAAAGATTTTAACTCAGAAAGTTTTACAGCTGATCATCGACATTACCCTCATTCCACAGCTGGGAATGCACACGCATAAAGTAATGGGGTCACCCCCACCCCGGAGCCCAGGTCTAATTCCCATCCCAGTGCTCTGCTGTGATCTATAATGCCAATTGAATCCTTAAAATAAACTCTGGTATGCTTCCTTTGTTACAAGCCTAAACCTAAACTTCACATAACTTTAAAACTTGACCACCACGTTAGTTTCACATTTGAGAGCTCTAAAATAACACAATACAGTCAATGACAAAAGGAAAAAAAGAAATTTCTTACCCAGCCTATACAATATCAACCCTCTGTTGTAATATGGAACTTCAAAATTGGGTTGGACTTCTATGGCAGATGTGTAGTCATCCATGGCTTCATAAAAATCAACCCTGAAGTACTTGATTTGCCCCCTGTTGTTATATGCAGTAGCCAAATCCTCAGGGCTGCATTTGCTTTAAACAAAAAGTTCACATTAAAAACACCGTTACCAAATTCCTCCCATTTCTTACTCTCTTTTGGGTATTGTCAAACTTCATAGCCTATAACATGCAGTACTTACACTGAAAAACCAAGCTAAAGAAACAGAGTGCAGATAAAGAGAACTGGAATAAATTTTGGTTTAGCCCTATTATCTACTCCAATGTCAATCTGAAAAGCTCATTAATTTTACAGTGTGTTCAAAGCCCCTGTTCACTGCCAACTTGTTTTGCTGATATACTGTTAAAAGAATTGTTCATTTTCCAAGCACATACCAGCAGGACAAAGAAGACAGATCAGATACATGCTGAACCAAGAGGGAAAGCCAGACCAAAGTTCAAGCTTGCTATGGACATGTCACAATGTGAATAAATTTTATTCTCAAATTCTTAACTGACTTTCAATGAGATTTGAAATTATTTTTCACCAAAAAAGAAACAAAGTTAAACCTAGGTGAAAATTCAACACCCTTATCCCCAGGGAGTGATCTTGGGGGATACAGCTGCCTTCCCTCCAACTTTAGCTGGGATCCTCAAGGGCTCTGAGCTAAGTCAGGGACAATTCTGTTTCCCTTTCTTTTTGGGGGGAGGGGAGTATTGTCAAACTTCATAGCCTATAACATGCAGTACCTACACTGAAAAACCAAGCTAAAGAAAGAGTGCAGATAAATAAAAAGAACTAAAGTAAATGTTGATTTAGCTCTGTTATCTACTTCTATAGGCCTATGCCACTACAATGTCAATCTGAAAAGCTCATTAATTTTACAATTCTGTTTCTCTTTCTTTTCTTTTTTTTCAAAGTGATTTTTTTTCCCAAGTAAACCAAACAGAAAAGATGCAGGTTATACTTATTTGTCACGTCTCTGTTATGCCCTATATTGCAAAGAAGTATTTGTGAGTGCAGTTAATGTAACTCAAAGCTTTGTCTAAGACATCTCAAGATTTCAGACAAGGACTGTAAATACTGCTGCCATAAGAGGTACTCACAGCCCTCCTTCAATCTAAGTTTGCTAACAATGGAGAGGAACCGGGACCATTTTAGAAAATTCCATATGTAAGCTATGAATGAGAGAGACTGGGTTCTGGATGCCACTAGCATCCCTATCAAAACCCAGAAAACAAGAAGGCATACTCCCTTTATCTAGCTGTTACAACACTAGTTTAGTTTGAAAAAAAATGCAGCCTCAGGACACCAATAAGTTTTTAGTTATTAAATCTGAAGCTTCAAAATTTCACAAATTCTTAACATTAATTATTAATTCTTAATATATTTACAGGATCATAGAATGTTAAATCTCATTACAATAAGTTTTTTTTTTTGGAGTAGAGGTCTCACTGTCACCCAGGCAGGAGCATAGTGGCATGCTCATGGCATCACCGCCTCAATCTGCTGGGTTTAGGTGATCCATCTGCCTCAACCTTCCAAGTAGCTGGAACCACAGATGCACGCCACCATGCCCAGCTAACTTTTTTTTTAATTTATTGAAGAGACAAGGTCTCGTAAAGTGGCCCAGGCTGGTCTTGAACCCCTAGGCTCAGGCAATCCTCTCACCTCCACCTCCCAAAGTGCTGGGATTACAGGCATGAGCCACTGCAAATGGCTACAACAAATTCTAAAAGCCTGTTTTTCATATGGAAATTCTGTTTCATAGTTTAAAGAAATGGGCTAACCGTTGATGCTGAAACTTTTTTGGTAATATTTAAATTTTTGTAATGATAGCATTTCTTATCATGGAATTTAACCAAGTTACCTAATCTCAAATGTGAGTTTTTAGCATTTGCTAACTTTAGCAAACAAAAAATATTTGGAAATCAGGTTATGGCTAAGGCTGCATCTTTAGATATTAAAAGAAAATGTTACAAACCATTCAGAGTGAAATGCATTCAAAGATTACCAATACTGTTTCAAAATGATTTAGTGAACCAATATTTTAAAAATGTAAACTCCAAAAGATAAATTTAAGGGAAAAAGTTGAAATGATGAAATTCAACTTCAATCTATGAGTTCCTAGAAGAATTTTAGAACTGTAAGGAAGATGAAGGTTCATTCTGCCGATGAGTAACTTGAGGCTGAGAAAAGACCCTAGCCACGTGCAGAGCCAAGGCTGGAGTTCAGGCACCAGAACTCCCTTCTACTAAATCATGGCAAATTTTCTTTCTTATGCTGGTAAGGAACAGATACTATAATTGCTACAACACATATGTTCTTAGGCTGAGATGTGCAAAGAAGGAAGAATAACAAGACTAGACAGCATCTATACACCTGTTGTTGACTACTTTTTGAAAACTACTAGACCAGTCTATTCCTAGAGTCTGAACAAGGATAGAAAACTAAGTTTTTTTAATTTACTAATCTTTAGGGGAAGTGCATTGAGGCAAGAATGATGATACCATCTTACTGCTTGTTCAGAAACTGCTATTAATTATTACTCCGGTGTATTATTGAAATGAGAAGGCAGTTTTATCTTTCTTGTTTACTCTCATATCACTTAAACAGGATATGAATAAAGTCCTTAGTGATTAGTTAAACTTCATACAAAAGACAAGCTGGTGTCAAGAAAAATCAAATCCTTGAGGGGCCAGGAGGGAGATGGTGAGGACCATGCACCAGCCTGTTCTTTTCTCATCCTGGTCCACTCCACACCATCAACAAGCACAAGGCAAAACCTAGAGTCATAACACACCCAAGCACAAACCACAAAAATGCTTAGGGTGAGCAGACAGTAATACACACCCACCTATAAAGTATTACTGCCCTAATATTGAGCCTGAATTGGATCAAACCTCAAAACTGAACCAACAGCTCACAAGCAATGGAAGACACAGGTGATCTTATTAAATTACATCAGAGGGGCATTCAAGCAAATCCAAAACACGGAAACTCTCAGGACAAGGAATCGGTTTCAACTGGGAAAAAAAGGGGGGCGGGCAGGGCTTAAAGATTAAAAGCGGCCTGACCTATGGCCTGACTTGAACCAAACACTGAAAACAAATCAACCAAGGAACAAAAAAAAAACACACATGGAATTAGTCCATGGAAGAAGTTCCGACACTGACTACATATTTGTCATAGGGAATTATCTGATAACAGCGATACTACGGTCATGTCTTTTAAGAGCCCTTATATTCAGGAGAGCGTTAAGTATCCATGATGAATATTATGTCCTGGTGAACTGACAACGCGGAAGTCGAGTGATGAGTATCCGGAGGTTCATTACACTCTTTCCCATATATTTAAATGTTTTTCCTAACAAGTGAAAAACCCCACAGCCCTCGCTGTGGCGCTGCGGTCGTCGCCCGGTCGTGTCGCCCGCCCCGAGCTCCTGGACACTCGCCGTTAGAATCACGAGTGGAGAAGCCCCGCCAACTGAGTCTCTGACCGGGGAGGGACGGGGAGGGGGGAGAGGCAGCAGCCGCGCCCACAACACACTGAGACTCCGCTCCGGGAAGATGTCCGCGGGGAGAGGAGACTCCCTCCCCGCGTTCTCCGCCGCCCTCGTCCTAGGCCTCGCCTCGGCCTTTCTGGGAAGACTGACGTCGTCCGCCCGCTCCGTCCTCGTGCCGCGTCGAAGAAAGCGCCACGCGTGCCCGCAGGTGGAAGAGTACGGAGGACAGAAGACCCTCGCCACGCACCCGCCCGGGGAGATCCGGCGGCCCCCACTTCTCGCGATAGTTACCTCCCGGGACTCGCGCCGACGGTGGCCGCAGGGGCGCACTGGCCAATGTAGGCGGAGTACAGCGCCTCTGCCTCCGCGTACTCGCCCCTCTCGAAGTGGGCCTGGGCCAGTGCTAGGGTTGCATGGCTTCCTCGCTCCTGCTGCCCTTCCATACCTATCGAAAGCCTAGCTTTCGGTGTGAAATTGCGGCTTATTTCTGAGCAGGTAAAGGCGGCACCACGAAGCCACTTCCGCACCCTGGGATTTAACTTGACAGCAGCCCGCGAAGCTAGGTCTATGTTTTCTGAGGACCCGTCGTCTCGCGAGATAGCTAGGCACCTGTGGGCGGAGTGCCCTGGAGCTCGAGACTGGCCTGCACGGGCATGTGTGAAGGGCGTTTCTGGCGTTATTACCGTGGGTCCCGATTGTCTCTTTTCCCAGAAAAACAGAAGATGAGGCGTTTGCTCTTGGTCACCTGGGACCGGGACCGATGATATCGGAAGCGAGGGAAGCAGAGATTTATGAACGGCTCATTAGCCTGCGGACTTCTTGGAGCTTCCATCCGGGTCCGTCCGCTTAGCCAAAGGCGCACTGAGGGCGACTTGGGTGAGCCGGGTCTACCCCGAGACGCTTTGTGTTCAAATTCCATGAGCGTTGTTTTCCCGCCGCCCTCAGCGCGCACTCAGAAGCTGCCGTTTGTTAGCTCTTGGATCCTAGCTGGCGAAGTTCTCTACGTTTTTGACCCTCTAGAATTGTGTTAGGATGATTAAATAATATTTTCTGCCTAGAGTCTGAAGTCTATGCCCAAAGGAAATCCACGTGATTAAGTGTATTGCGTTTAGTTCAAATTAAAATTATGTGAAAAGCTTTGCCGACCGCGCTACACTGCATACCTACGGGGGGCGGGGCGGCTGACCTGTCTTACTTCCCAAACAACTTGAACCCCTTTCCGTCAGAAAAAGTGAAGATAAAAAATGCATTTAGAGCGTGGTATTTGTATCAGAAAGCCTTAAATTGTGGAGGTTTTTTCTGTTACTTTAATTTGATTTTTAATTTTTATCATTAACACTTAAAAATATACAGTGCATTAATACAAACCCTAGCAGAAATGTAAAGGTTAAATGATCTGGCATTTCCTGTAAGGCGAGAGGTACCGGAGGGCGGGGCGGGCCTCAACAAGATGGCTCCAACCCGGACCAGGATAACAATGGGTGAGAGTGAGCCCGCAAAAATGAGTAACCGGAACTAAGACTCCAAGCCGCAAAGCCAGCCAGTACCTGTTACAGTGAGTCTAGCAACCCCGTTCAGCCAATCGCCAGCAGACGTGACAGCTGTCCCAACCAGTGATTGCTCTCCCCGAGCCCCTCACAGCTTTCTTCAGTGTGCTCTTTATAAACCCGTCGCCCATCTTGCTGGGTGCGACTTCTCCTGCCCACAACTACATGGACCGGTCAACCTCGCCTGGGACTGCGCTAATAAATTTTCTTGGCTCTTTTGTTGCGTTTTGCCTGGTCTGGTTTTGTTTACGTTACATTTCCTATGTAAGAAAATGGACTGCTCAGTAGAACAGAGGGCCAGAAAGAGACCTTCAGACTTTTTTTAAAGGCATTTTAATATATATGGGGAAAAGATACATTATTCAAATGAATGCTATTGGAAGAATTAGTTAACCATTTGGGAGACAATATATTTGAGTATTTAAGAACTGAAATGGCACTGAGTGACCTCTCACAGAAACAAAGATCTGAGTATCACATGTTCTCACTCATATAGTGGACCTTGATCATCCAACGCACTACCATAAGGAAATGACTGACAGTGGTGGGAAACTATGGGGGAAGGGGAAGGGGGATGGGACTAATGGTAGTAAACATCTGTGTGGGGATGGGGAGACATCTGTTATCAACAAGGAGGCCTAAATGAAGCATATTTGTATACCTAACCCTTAACTGTACCCCACAACATCATAATAAAAAATATTGATTAAAAAAAAAAGAATTGAAATGGCATAGTACTCGTTCCAGGTGAATTAAAGTTAGGTATTAAGAAATTAGACTCCAAAAAAGCTAGGAGAAAAATTATCTCATAGAGGCAGGTCTTCCTAAGCATAAAAAGAAAGAAAAAAATATAAACCGTATGATAGAATTAACTATAAAAATAAAAAGCAGAAAGAAACTTATAACTTGCAAAACAATCACCATCTTTAAAATATACAGAACTTTGTACTCAACAATTATTTGTTAAGCATCTACTATGTGCCAGACACAATTTTTAAAATGGAGACTAGAACAGTGAACAAAAGGAAGTCCTCTCCATCACTGAACTTATAGCCTAGTGGCCAGACACAGACAATTTAAAAAACAATTGATAATGATTAGTGCTATAGAGAAAAACCAGGACAGGGATAGAAAGGAGAGTGGTGAAGCCTATGTTTCCAAGTATGTTTAAAATACAGGGTTTCACAAGAAAGCAACTATATTAAAACACAGTTGTGAAAATATTAACAGATTTGAAAAATAATAAAGTATACTTTTTGTTAACAGATTAAATATCAAGATCAAATGGCAAACCCAAAGCTAGCACAGGAAGAAAATAATAAAGATCAAAACAGAGAAACAAAACAAAATAGAAAAATAAAAGAGAAAATAACCAAAACCAAAAGCTGATTCTTCAAAAAGATTAACAAAAATTAATAAACCTTTAGCTAATTTGACTAAAAAAAAGATTCAAATTACTAAAATCAGATATGAAAGTGGGGATATTACTAACAATGCTACAGAAATAAAGGATTATAATAGAGTACTATGAATGCCAAAAGTATGCCAAAAAAAGTAGAGAGCCTAGATGAAATGAACACATTTCTAAAAGCAGAAAACCTACTAAGATCAAATCATGAAGAAAATAGAAAACCTGAATAGAGCTGTCACTAGAAATGAGATTGAATCAGTTAAAAAAAAAACAACAAAAAAAAAACTCTTGACAAAGAAAAGCCTTGAACCTGATGGCTTTAAACCCTAACAAACATTTAAGGAAGAACCAACATTAATCCTTTTAAAACCAACATCAATCTTTTTAAAACTCTTCCAGGCTGGGCTCGGTGGCTCAGCCTGTAATCCCACACCTTGGGAGGCCGAGGTGAGTGGATTGCCTGAGCCCATGGGTTCGAGACCTGCCTGGGCAACTTGGCGAGACCTGATCTCTACAATAAATCAAAAACTAGCCAGGCGTGGTAGCGCATGCCTGTAGTTCCAGCTACTTGGAAGGCTGAGATGGAAGGATTGCCAGAGCCCAGTAGGTCGAAGATGCGGTGGCTGGGAGCGGCTAGGGCACTCCAGTCGGCTACAGAGTGAGACTCCAACTCAAAAAAAAAAGAAAAAGAAAAAAACTCTTCCAAAAAATTGAAAAAGAGGGAACACTTCCTAACTCATTCTATAAAGCCACCACTGCTCTGATACCAAAGCCAGATAAAGACACTAGAATAAGACTACAAACTAATATCCTTTTTGACATAGCTGAAAAAAAATCCTCAACAAAATACTAGCAAATTGAATTCGGCAGCATATTTAAAGGATTATACACCATGATGAAGTGGAATTTATTTCTACAATGTAAAGATTACTTAACTCATGAAAATCAATCAAAAATATTTGCCAACTGCATATCTGGCAAAGGCCTAACATCCAGGATCTACAAGGAACTCAAACATGCCAAAAGGAAAAAACCAAACAGCCCTATTAAAAAGTGTGCAAAAGATATGAATTGACACTTCTCAAAAGAAGATATACAGGCAACCAACAAACATCTGAAAAAGTACTCAGCCTCATTAATCATCAGAGAAATGCAAATCAAAACCACACTGAGATAACACCTAACTCCAGTAAGAATGGCCATCATTAATAATAATAGATGCTGGCAAGGATGCAGAGAAAAGGGAACGCTTCTACACTGCTGGTGAGAATGCAAACTAGTTCAACCTCTATGAAAAACAATGTGGTGATTTCTAGAAGAACTAGAAATTGACCTTCCATATGACCCAGCAATCCCCCTACTAGGAATATACCTGGAGGAACTCAAATCATTCTACAAAAAAGATACCTGCACATGCATGTTTATTGCAGTTGCTATTCACAATAGCAAAAAACATGGAACCAACCATGCTACCCATCAAAACTGGATTGGATGAAAAAATGTGCTATATATACACAATGGAATATTATGCAGCCATAAGGAAGGACAAACATATGGACTTTGCAGCAACTTGGATGGATTTAGAGTCAATAATACTCAGTGATCTATCACAGAAAAAACAGTACCAATGTTCTCACTCATAAGTGGACCCTGAACATTTACCTTAATACTATAAGTAAAGGGATTGGTAGTAGAAGAATATTGCCAGGGTGGGGAGGGGGACACAACATCAATGAGGGTAGCTGATCTCAAACCAGGCAAAATCGGGTCCAAAGAGAGACTCAAATTTCACCTGTGCGATATCAACTTATATACCTAATCCTGAATTGTACCCCACATCTTTAAAATAAACTATAAGTTTTAAAAAATCAATCAATGATGGTTGAGGAAAACAAAATCAATGTAATACAGCAAGTTATTAACAAATGGACAAAAAAAACTCCACTACATGATCATCTCCATTGATGTAGAAAAAATAATTAACAAAATTCAAAACCCTTTCATTATAAAAACACTCAAGCTAGAAATAGAAAGAATCTACCTCATCAAAATAAAGCCACATATGAATAACTCACAGTGAATATCTTACTCAATGGCAAAAGACTGAAAGCTTTTTCTCCAAAATCAGGAACAAGGCAAGGCTGCTCAATTTCACCCCTTCTATTCAAGATAGCACTAGAAGTTCTAGTTAGACCAATTAAGCAAGAAAAAAATAATGCATGCAAGTTAGGAAGAAGTAAAATTATCTCTGTTCACAAATGATAAACTCATATATAGAGACAACCCTAAAGATTTCATTTTAAAAAAAAAAAAAAACTTGTTATAACCAATAAATGAATTTATCCAGATTGTGGGATGCAAAATCAACACACAAAATTCGGTTGCATTTTTATACACTAACAATGAACAACTTGGAAATGAAATTAAGAAAGCAATTCCATTTACAACAACATCAAAAAGAATAAAATATTTAGGAATCAACAAAGGGAGTGAAGCCTTGTTCAATGAAAACTACAAAACTGGATCCGGGGGCAAGGTGGCGACGGCATAGGTGAACTGGTGAGATTCTCTGAATGGACCAAGACTGCATACTGCTGAATA